TGACCTCACAGACCTGAGGCTTAACTCCTTAGAAGCCAGGCAGCAAGCTGAGAAGAGAGAGAAAGCACGACAGCCTCAGTTTATTTGGAGCAGTTGCAGCTTATGGAAGAAAGTGAAGTTTGCCCAACACTGTTAAAATAAGAAAGTAAATTCAGCATTGTTTTTCCCTTATAGCCCTGAAGTTTCTGAAAAGCTATTTTTAAAGACTGTAATTTCCTACAGCACATGCGTTCCTGGCCCTAAAGGAATGACTGAGGCAACAAAACGGATCTAATTCATTGAAGTTACAGGAAACTCAGCTGTGTTAAATTCACACTTAATTGTATATGATTTGTTCAACTTCTATTTCTAGTTTCGTGCCTGTTTCTCCGCTATGGTTGAAGTGAAAATATGCACGTGTCCTGCTGTTCGAGTCCTGCTTCAGACAACCAGAAGTGGACAGACAGCATGCACAGCTGTCAGACACAGGCAACAGCTGCCCTGCCCTGGGGGGAGGATCTGGGAGCTCCAGGAGTGGGGCGGCCAGATCAGCAGGACTGCCACCAGACCTAACTAATGGATAGCAGAGTCTGCACCAATGTCTCCTACAGGGAAAGGAGACTGGTTTTGCTGCCTTTTTCTTTCCCAGGCTTTTTCTTTGCATTCCTGCTATTTTTGTTGGGATAGGGGAATTATGAGGATCAGGAGGTAAAATAACTCAAAATTATTTTATAGACAAGTCGATAAAATTACATACTCTCAAAGAAAATGTAATATGCCCTTTCAACAATGCCTTGGTTCACCCAGTAAATGATTCTATCTTACAGTCCAGCAATTTATTTCTAAATATATACCCAGCCTAGAGAAACTCCCCCATATGTGCACAAGAGGCCTGAATTAGACTATTCACTGGCATGCCGTTTGAGATAACAAAAATATAAGACAGCCAAAACATTCATAACAGGAAAGCTATAGTATATGTTCATGTAATGAATTCTACACAGCAAATAAATTTATAACTTTGGGCTTTATGAAGCAGTAACATGTTTAAAATGTTGAGCAAAAAACAAGCAAGTTACAAAAGGAAACGAGAAGATAGCATTTACATGAAGTTCAAAAATATGTGAACGAATACCGTGTGTTGTCTATGGATGCACACCTATGGAGGAAGAGTAAACACTCACAGGTAACAGGTACCTTTAGGAAAAGAGAGAGAGGCACTGGACCAGGGAGGCATCCACAGGAGTCTGCATTCGCCCACAGCGCTTTCTTTCTGACACTGGCGGGTGAGAGCACAGGTCTCGGTTATCTTCTGCACTTTCGCACCCCTGAAATGTCTCGGGAGTCGTGAAATGTCAACTGCACAATGGCTACCTTTCTGAGAATAGCTGCATGTGTTCAGTCCAGCAGGTTCACAGAACAGCAGGCAAAGAGGTTAGTAAGCCCCTCAACTCCCAACTCTTGGGCCCCACGGCCAAGCAGCTGTGAATATTTCTGCCTCAGTTTGGCTCCATCTGGAAAGTCACCCTGCCCGACTCTACTCCCCCCACCGCCCCGCCCCCCACCATTCACACATGCCCCCTCATCCTTCAAAGCCCACTGCAGAAAAGCGGGCCTTCCAGGAGGGCCTGGTGCCACTGCAGGCTGAGCAGCCCAGCCTGGGAGCCTTGCCGTCTGGTTCTCTGCACCAGAGCTGTTTGTGACGCTATCTACCTCCTCTGTGGGAGATACCTAGTACCTAGTGTAACACGGTGCCAATTAAGTTCTTCATCCAACAAAATCTGAGTGTCCAGTATGTGCTAGACCCTGTCACAGGATCTCTGAGTCTCAAGACTAAAGACTTGGAAAGTTCACTGCCTAATAGGACAGGCCCATACCTGACTAAGTATAACATTATATGAAGGATCTATAAATAGTGGTTAAATGAATGCTGAGTGTGAATAATGAACTTTTATGATTTTGTTTCATGATAGTAACTATTCAATACCTCTTATTTTCTTTATACTAAAAGCTTTATATTACTACTCTTGACTAGAAAATGCCAGCTTCCTCGTGTTGAGGACCTGCTAAATAGAGTAATTATAAACACAATAAAATGAACAATCATTAAATCTCTTCGCCTTCAAGCAACCCGAGGCCCTTAGGATTATTATTACACGTCCACAGCATCCTGAGTCAGTCCGACCACAACGCGTTCATACCGGGTGACTCTGAAACAGTTTTGAATATTTCAGGTGGTTCTATTACTGATAATAACAGCCAACATTTATTGAGTAATCATCAAATGGTGTAAACTATTATCCCTTTTCCCAGATAAAGATATTGAGGTTTAGAGAGATGGTTCACCAAAAACTGAACACAGGCACAGTGACCTAAGACTGGGAATCGAACTGGCCACCTTTTGCTTCACAGGACGACGCCCGGCCAGCTAAGGCACGCGGGGCGGGGCTGCGAACCGTGGACCCGTGGATAACCCCCTCGCCTAGTGCTGCGAATCTTGTGGTAAGTAGCCTCTGCTGAGAGAAAAGGTTATTGCTTCCTTACACGACTAAAAAGAGTGCTGTATCATCCTGACTAGTTAAAATGCTAACTGCAAATCCACTTTTTATTTAGAGCAATGATTCTCCTTGTAATAACACAGGGCCAAAGTCCTTCACCATTTGACATCTTTCAGTACATTCTATGATAAAAGATCAGCCACTTAACCAGCAATCCACAGCACTCTTTACACCAATGCCTCCCACTATCTAAGGCACTAACATGCTTGTTTTAAGATTTAAACTACGGAATTAGAATGTTTCTGGGAAATCCTATTTCCAATCCCGGGCCACTTCCTGAAGTCACCCCCAATTTATAAGAGAGGCACCCAACAAACAGGGAGAGCCCACAACACCAGAGCCAAGGCCAAGCCACCTGAAAGGCACCCGAAGAACGGCAATGACCAGACCACGTGGCTTCCACGTTGCACTCCCTGACAGCCACGCCAGCACTAGAGAAGAGCTACCAGGAGACTCACCGGAGCACATCTTCCAAGAGGATGGGATCGGAAAGACACACAGCAGCACTCAAGCCTCCTGCAGTGCTGCCCTGGGGCCTCAGCCACTCCTGACCGCCATGAGCTCGCTCACGGCCACAGCTGCAAGTGTCACCTCTAAATGGGGACTTCAAGGCTCTCCTGCTGGTCTTCGATCCCACACTACCACTAGCAGGTGCACACGAAGGACCCTCGTTCTCCTCAAGGTTAACTGCTTCCACTGCCCCCACTGCTGGGCCCTTGCCTATGAACCCTGCTGCTCTCCCCAACTCCTGCTGATCTTTGCTTGATTCCATGTCATCCACACTTGAAATCTCTCAATCTTTTTGACTCAGCCCGCATGCCCTGTATTTAAGCATCCACCAAATCCTTATGGTTTTTCATCTTTACCAGGATTTTTCTTACCTGGTTTCTTATATTACTATTATCCAGACTATTGCAAAATCATGATAGGTTTAAAATGAGTATCAACAAAATAGAACTTAGCAAATTCTTAAAACAAAACTGCAAGTTGAGCCCTGGCTGATGGGGCTCAGTGGATTGAGTGCCAGACAGTGAACCAAAAGGTCCCAGGTTCAATTCCCAGTCAGGGCACACACCTGGGTAGTGGGCCTGGCCCCCAGTTGGGGGGTGTGCTAGAGGCAACTGATGGATGTTTCTCTCGTGCGCCGATGTTCTTTACTCTCCCTCTCTTTGTCCCTCCCCTCCCCACTCTCTAAAAATAAACAAATAAAATCTTAAAAAAAAAAAACTCTGTAAATTGACTGATAGGCTACCTCCACTTTACCAATAAGGAATAAGGGGTGCCTTGAAGTAAAACAACCTACTCCAGATCAGGCAGCCAGTAAAGGGGACGACTTGACCTCCTGTTGTCTGACACCCACAACCCTTATTTTTGGGGTGCCACCCTGCCACGGCGCATTGCACTCTTATGGAAAAAGTGTATTTCCGGAAATCCAGTAATCAGGGTTCCAAACAAGCTTACAGTTTGGTGGACAGTGCTGGCAGCTCAGAAGCTGGGACAGACCCCAAACCCACGGCAGAGAGGCCTGGTGACAGTTCTCAGGGACCACTGTCGTCGGTATCACTATTAATTCCCATTTATTTCTCTCCTACTGGGTACCAGCCTTGTTAAGCCGCTTGATCTTCCCTTCTTGATTTTTTTTCCCACTTGATTATTTTTCCCACTTGATTATAATCACATCTGCTCCTCCCTCCTATACCAAATAGACATTACTCATTCGGATTTACCCTGGGAAGGGTTCCCAGACTGTAATTTACTCAAGATCACACACCTAGTAAGTACCTGAGGCAGGATGCGAACCCAGATACGACTGCATCCCAAACCTAGTAGAGTTCCCTCCCCCTTATCCCTGAGCAAGGAATCCTCTTTGGCCAAACAACAAAAAACATCATTACAACCGCTTTAGGAAGGTAGAAAGGGAAACATGAGAACCTATTTTCTACAGGACAAGTTTGAGACAGTAAAAGAAAAGACTAAGAGACAAGGAGAGTCGCAGCCGCCCCGTAATGAACCCACAGGGCAGAGAGCTTCCTGCTCCTCAGGACCACAGATCTGGGAGCCCAGGGCCCATCTGCTCTCCAAAGGCGATCTTTCAAGATCAAAATCTGTTCCTCTGTCACCAGCTTGACTAGTATCACAGTATATTAACATTTACACAGTCTATTAAAATGCCTGCAGGTTTTCAATTGGGATGTCTAAAAAATGTTGAAATCACATGTCAACAAATTTCTGTATTAATCTTGTTTCATGTGACTTTTTTCCCAGACCAAAAGACACTGAAGAGAGACTGGCTGATGAAGAAAGAAGATACTTCGGAATGCCAGCATTCCATCTGAGAAGGAGGGAAAACAAGAGGAAGGCACAAAACCACAACTATCAAATTCAGAGCGACCGAAGTCCGACTGAAGCACTCTTCTCAGGCTTATCAGTTGCACAGCGATGTAATTCACCTCCTCTGCTGTACTTCGTATCCTGAGCACTCCGTATCCTGAGCCATATCTGAAAGAAAAGCTAGGAAGCTGAGACACAAAATATACCTAATACACTAAAAGGGTACTTGGAAGAAGGAGTTTTGTATATTTCGGAGAATCAGAAAAGAAGCACTCCTGCCACGTTACTGTACGTGCTGTCTCTCTTCTTCTGTCTGTCCAAACCTAAGCTCAATAGAAATGGACAATATTCAGCTCTGTCTATGGCCACAATGACAACATTTGTGCCTTACACTCTCCAGGTCAGAACTTACTGATTGGAGCTGCAGTCATCAGCTGATGGGCCGGCGAGGGAGAAGCACCCAGACACAAAGGAACCCATTGGAACATGTATTACTGTAAGTCTCTAATTATCCTTTCTAATTTTGGAGCCATGTGACTGGACTTCACACAGCACCGCTGACCCACTAGCCTGAGTGCTCTGGAGCTGGACCACAAAGGGAGGGGATGCTACCCTTTGCTCCTTCATTAAAATATTGTATTACATCCACAGGGCGAGCTACTTTCTGACGGACATGTGGTTCCCTGGTTAACACTCGGTGTTCAGGGCACTCAGAGCACCTGGGAGAATTTTTCCTGTCTAGATTTACTCCAGGATCTTCAAAGACTTTTTTAAAGGATTTTTTTATTGTTATTCTCTTATAGTTTCCCCAATTTTTTCCCCTTTGCCCTCCTCTGCCCAGCCTACCCTCTGCTTCCACAGTCCATCCCCACACCATTATCCATGTCCATGGGTCATTCATACATGTTCTTTGACTAGTCCCTTCCCTTTCTTTCCATCATTATCCCCTCCCCACCCCAGCCACTGTCAGCCTGTTAAAAGACATTTTCACCTTATAGAGAGTGATCCGTTTGGTATCACAAAGACAAGGTATATATAATCCTTTAAAAGACAAATAGTGAACACATATACTCTCTAAAAATGTCTTTCTAACCTGATATGAGAGTACAACAGACGTGAAATTATTTCCTGCTCTGACCTACGTAGAGGCAGGAAAATGGATGAATGGTGCGCCTCTAGCCACCAAAGCATGGCTAACTCCCAGGCTGGACGGCACTGCTGGGAGGGGGCGTTGGGTTTGCTCACGTGCCGCGGCCTCCTCATCAGCTCCCCGCCCCCCGCCCTCCTTTAACGCGCAGCAATGGAGAGCAGTGTCATTCTGTGTTCCAAAGAAATCACTCCAATACTGCCATTGAAATAATTTCAACAACTAACTAAAGGTACATATTGAAACTGAAAAGGATATATAATATATAACTATATAGGCAATGCCAAACAAACCTATTTTTGTTTTGAAACCCAAAATATATTGGAGCCTGACTGTCTGGGTTCAAATCCTGAGTGTGCCACTTACTGTCTACGTGACTTTGAGCAAGTTACTCACCTGCTCTGTGCCTCACTCTCCTTCTGTGGAAAGTGGAAATACTAATAGTTCCTTTCTCCCAGCTTATTATGAGAATTAAGCACAATGTATTTACTAAATAATCAAACCTACTGAATGCATATGATATAAAACTGTGTTTAGAGACCACCTAAAGTAATCTCACCATATTTTCTACCGCTGTCAACTAACATTAAAATCAACACCCCAACAGGGACGGGCTTAACTTCTGTGGTGTGTGTCTAGTTAAAATGCCAGAAGCATTATCAGGGGGACAGACATCACCCCCTTTGCAGTTGGTCTTCCTCAGAGTTCACTTCATCCAACACAGTCAGGACCTCTCCCCCTGCCCCGGGCCAGTCCACTTCCAAGAAAACAGGAAGGCTGGTGAATGGATAGGGAATGCTAGGCATGTGTACTTGTTTAATTTATTGTTTCCCTTGTGTAAATACCTCACTGATTAATAGAGTTGAAAAGAACTGTTTTCTCGAACCCCAACACTCCGTCTCGGAGAGCTTGGCTGCGGCCAGTCGGCCGTCACTCAGAACTCTCGTCTGGGCTTCCCTGATGGGCTGGGTACCCGGGTCTGCTTCCCCGCCTCTGCGGAGGAATGCTTTAATGCCGAAGAGCTTTCTAAAAGCCTGCTCACTGATTCCTTTAAAAATGTATGGAGACATGTTTATTAATGATTTGGTCAATTTTTTCTCAAACTGAAAACACCACTACTACCAACAAGCAACCCCACAATCACCAACGCAGACGCCCGGCTCTCCAGACATGCGGCACCGAGAGAAATTCGATTAAGAGAGAGTCAGTACATGCGATCACACAGCCTAGAACAGTGACAGTTCCTGGTACAGGAGCCAGGCGATTTGAATTCTGCTACAGAATCTGTCATCAGGCAAACCCATCCCACCAAACTGGGACTCTGATTCGTTACTCTGGACCACAAAGGGAGGGGATGCTACCCTGCTACAGAGGTACCTAAGGCCCCCCTTCAAGTGGGAAAATGGCATAATCCTTCGCCCTGCAGCTCTCTGGTGCTGCAACTTCCCCAAAGCACCAAGAGGCGGGGCGGGGGTGGGGGGGGGACAACAAAAAGAAAATGCATGAAAGTTATACCGGTTTCTTTAAAAGTTCTTAGGATCACTGAGACTGCCCTTTTTAAAGATTTTATTTATATTTTTAGAGAGACAGGGAAGGAGGGAGAGAAACATCAATCAGTTGCCTCTCACATGCCCCCAACCAGGGACCTGGCTTGCAACCCAGACATGTGCCCTAACTGGGCATTGAACCTGTGACCTTCCAGGTCACAGGCTAGCGCTCAACACACTGAGCCACACCGGCCCGGGCTGCCCTATTTTTTTAAACCCTGAATTGACACATATGCACATGGGAAAAGTGCCCAGAGCTGGGTGAGAAGTTCGGCTGGCTCATCTCTAAGATTCTTCTCATCCAGTATTAGAATTCAGTCTTATCATTGAGCAAGATCTCAGGGTTCAACAATGCAGGTGACGCAGCTGAAACCTTATCTCAGGAAGGCCCGAGGCACACCACTGCCCAGGTCTGAGGTGCTAAAATACTCTAACCTACCCCAGGACTCTCTCTGCGCTACTAATGACTGGCACTCAGGCTGCCCCGGTGATGGCGACTTTCTATTCCAGGGGAGCAGACCATACATTCGATTAACCTTCCACCCAATTCCTTCTGCTCCCACTCCGTGACGTTTACCTCCTCTTTATTTGCTTACCCTCCCTGTGGCTTCTGCAGCAAAACCTCTCACACCAAGAGGCTCAGCTCCCCAGAAAGTTGTACTGGAATTTTAATGAGAATTTCAGCATTACCTGTGGGACAGCATTTTACCACAATTTACAGTTACCGGTGATACTGATGAAAAAAAGGATGGAAGCAGCACCCTCCACTCAGAGCCCCCCCCTCTCTGGGACCCTGCCTCGGAGACACCCTCCTTCTCAGGAACACCCCCCTCTCTGGGATGCCTGCTCTCAGGAGCCCCCTCTTCTCAGGGGCACACCCCCGGCAGGGGGACAGGAAGTCCGACTGGGGGACAGGAAGTCCGACTGGGGGCCTGTCAGCCATCCAGTTCTCACTCACGCCTTTACTCAAGCTCTTACTTTGTACCAGCACTCTGCTGGGTACTTTACCCAACTCTTTAAACTGTAGTCACACAGCGTACTGAGTTTCATTAACCCTATTTTGCAAATAATAAAGCAGATTTCAGAGGGAATCATTGGTTTGCCCAAGTAATTCAAACCAAGGTGTTATGCTTTTGAAATCTGTGTTCTTTTCATTGTTTCACTGAGACCCAAGAAGACAACCAACACCCATGGTCCGCTTCCTGTGGAAACACACAGCTAAAACATTACAATGTCCTGGTTGGTCTTGAATATGCTCATCCGATGAATCAGCCACCTATAAACAAACTGGCTACAAAAAATGCTTAACACAGGATGGACTGCTCACTAAATAAGGTTCCTTGGAAAACTGTACTATGAATCCTCACTTTACAAACAAGCACTGACTTTTTTCATACAGCTTTAAAATACTTTTTCCCCATTTAACCTCCCCGCCACCTCTACCCCCACACACTGACACACTGTAATAAGGAAAACTATATCAAAACTAAATTTATAACATCTTTAGGAAGTTTATCAGGCTCTGCACACTGATGGAGAAGCTGAAGAACAGGTCAATGGCCCAAGTGTGATGAGCAAGAGGAAATGGAATGCTGGGTAATCCACAGATAGGGAATCACTGAATGACAGGTAAGGGGCACACAACCTACAGAATTTGTCACTTTATCTCCCAGGCAGACAAACCCTAAAATAGAGAAAGAATAAATATGCATAGTCTTGACCAAGGTATCAGCTCCATCTCGCTCCCAGATAATCACACCCTCACACTGCCACTGCAGGAACCGGAAGACCGCCTGCCAACAGGACCTGACAGAGCAGAGGGTGGGGAGGAACTCTGGTGACCATCTGATCCACACCCTCTTTTTATGGTTAACGAACCTCTGGCCCAATCAAACAACCTGCTCCATGTCACCAACCAACGTCAGTGTCAGCACAAAAGCCTGCCAGCCTCCTTTTCGCTGCCCCATGCCACTGCTGCTGAAGCCACATCACTGGACCCAATACCTGCTTGTCGCTCACAGATATGTGCTCAGGTATGTGGCCAATTTCTACATGGGCATCCAAGAAACAGAGTGACAAACCACTGACGTGTATCCGACCTGCCCCTAAAACCCACATACATTTTAGTCATATCATTCACACATATGCATAGAAACTGGCAATGCTTTTCAAGTGTGTTATTCCACACTCAGATTCCCCAAGAGGAAAGTACAAAACCCACCAGCACAAAATCAACGAGAACGGGACCAGTACCTTCCCCACAAGGCAATCTCCGGGGCGCCCTTCACGTAGCTGGAGTCCCCAGCGTCACTGAGCCCGTTGGTGATCCCGCAAGAGTAGCCCATCACTATTCTGCCATCTGCCGAGACGCCCAGGAGGTCCTGCTGTCCTCCCGCTGCCGTCCTCTCCAGGAACTGAGTGCCTTCTCTAATGCGCTGCTGTATCATCGGAGTGAGGGGCATCTCGAAGCTGAAGTAGCTGTCGGGCTCCGAGTACAGCGTCTCCAAGGACTCGGCGCTGTAGTACAGGGAGGTGTTGTCCAGGATGGTTTCGAACTGGGAGCTGTACACGTCCGTGGAGTCCTCCGTGTACCCGGGGCCGAGGAGATCATCGTCTCCTCCCACAAGGTGCTCCTCTTGTTCAGGGATCCTGGAAAGGAAACAAGAGGGAGGAATTTCAATAGTGGGCTAATTTTTACTTTTTTCCTTTTCAACCATATAAAAAAGATAATGCTCTGTAGAGCTAACACTTGTATTCACCGGGCTTATGTCTTAATACATTCGGGAAGGAAGATAACACAGACCCACGCTCAGGCTGAAAAAACCCTCCTCGCACACATGTGCTTTGCCACCCTCAGAATAACTTAACGTTGTTCACACTAGTTTCCTTGTATGTGAATGCATCTAGTCCAATGAATATTTGAATAAAATAGTCTTGTCTTAGCCAACTAAACCCCAAATTCAACGTATTAACAGCTACCATCATGCATAATTTTAACAGAAGCAGATAAATATATGTGTAAACTTAATGGAGTAAAAATACACTAAGCTTTCATCAGTCTATTAATACTTTCTGACTTCAATAAGACCGAACACCTCCCAGCAGATGACTACATTAGAATCCAAGGGCTGCCCCCTGCTGACAATAAGGCAGCATTGCAGAGAGATCTCAGGTCCAAAATTAGAGAGTAAAGGGTTTAAAAATAAAATAAAAGCCGACAGACATGTTTATTGCAAGGCTAAGCAAAGCAGTGAAAACATAGAAACAATTTATAACTGAATACACAGGGGTGGGCATTAACTAATATGTAGCATGTTCTTCAAACATTACATATGAACAGTAGGATAACTAAGTGAAATTTTAAACACTCAGTTAAGTGCAAGAGATCGAGACTTACAAACACCTGGAGCTGAACTCAGGATGTGCTCATTACTAGCTATGTCGCTTTGTCAACTTTACTTAACCTCTCTGAGCCTCAGATTCCTACAAATAGAGAGAAAATAGAAATAGGAATACAAATACCTCGTAAGTAACCTACAGTCCTCTTAGGTATTGCCAGAATTCGCCTTCAACAAGACAGCTGTCTTGCTTGTTTTTAAATTACTGAAGGCCTGCCACGTGCCAAACACGATTCTGGGTTTATACCTCTCCACGGCTTCTCACTGGACTTGGAATAAAATGGAAGTTCCTGTAACGAAGCCCCTCCCCCCATGCCGACATCCCACCACTCTCCCCAGCTCCTTATGCTCCAGTCACACTGGTGGAGTCTCAAACCTTCAAACTTTCCAAACTTCACACGACCCCAGGCAACCCAGCAGCCCTCCCTAGTTCATGCTGCTCCCTCTGCCTGGAACAGTCTTCCCGCCCATTCCCCGCCTGCTCCCTCAGAGTCACTCCTCAAGGCTCAACCTAACAGTCACTTCCAAAGAAAGGCCCTGCCCAAGTCATCGGATGAATTAGCCTCTCCTGCATTCAAATGATTATGTCCAGTATGTCTCTCCTTTTCCTTCACAGAACCTAGCACAATTTATGATCTCGTAGTTATTAATGGGCTTCTGTGGTCGGTGTTTATCTGCAGCAGTAAACTGCATGAAGGCAGAGGCCATGGGCCACGTCTATCTTAAACATCCCTTTCCGCCCAGCATCCAGCAGCGTCAAGGACACAGAAGACAATCAGGGAATACTGGTGGAAGAAAACAAAGGGGAAGGAGAGAAGGAGGGAGGGAGGGAAGGAGAAATGACTTAATAACCTACACAACAGCAGAAGTACATACTCCAGTGGGGCTATAATTACTGCGCCATGTGCCACACACACCGCAGGCAGGTTTGGAGGGAAGTCTGGAGATCTCATGTGCTGGGGGGCTGGGCGGGAGGGGTGGGGAGGAGGAGCCCTGACAGCCATCCCAAAGGAGCGGCACGCTCCGTGGAGTTGTTACTTAATCACAGGAGGAAAAGGCATCTCCTTATACCAACCCCACCAACCAAGAACCCTTCAGCCTGGACACAGATGTTCTCCCATAAAAACCATGAGATGTGGTGTCATGACGACGGAGGGAAACGATGGTGCAAATCTGAAATGACAGAACAAATGGCAGCCTAAAGGAGCACCATGCGGTCAGACTCTGAGCAGGGAAATGGAGAGAGACTGGCCACGTCTTCCACACGTCGGGCTCTGTGCCGGTGTGGATGCGATGTCAGAAATGAATGGAAAGCCAGGAAACACCACATGGTGCTGAGTTGACTTGTCAGGGACATAATCCAAACATACTGTTCCCGTGAGAAAGGACTGCCATGCAAATGCCACGGGACAACGGAACTGTGCAGTCCACTTCTGACCTCTGGGCCGCCTCTCTAAACCTAAAACACCGAGTCAGCCCAAACCCCATGTTCGTACACGTACGTGGGCTGGATGCAGGCACTAGTGTTGCACCAGAAAAACACGCCTAAGTTAGAATGTAATGACTACGGGATGCGTCAAGAGTCCAAATCCTTTCATATTATTAAAGATAACTGTGGGGTGTTACAGTCACCCTCATATTGGAACACTCGAAACCTGTCAAACACCACACAGCATCAGAGGTGGATTCACGTAGTTCTGGGTTCACTGTCTCTCCATCACTCTGCTTCCCTGGCCTACGGCTAACAGACAACACCGTAACAAGGTCACCTGAACAGCTCAGACACTTAGATGGAATCCAGCGCACAGTGGCTTCTCTTCTGTGCTATGATTAAAAGCACCCAGGACACTGTGAGTTGAGCTGTCATTGTGAGCAAGGTAACAGTTTCCTACTACACATCCCAGGTGTCACAGACGGCAGGGCGACGGGGGCTCACCTCATCTTGTCTCTCTCCCGGTCAGATCTCTTCTCAAGATGGCCTTTGTTTTCCTTTAGGAAGACTTCATCCTCTCCACTCTCAACAAGAGGCACAGGGGAAAATGTTTCTGACCCCGAGGCAGGCCTCGCTGACGGACCTCCCCAGGCTTCGCCCTCAACACTCTCAGTGGCGCTGGCTGAACTGTACAAACCAGCAGAGGAGACGACATGGCTTGGCACTTCGGAAAGCCCCTTGCTTTCAGGAGAGGTAGATTTTGTCTCCAAATCCACAGGCTGCCGTGTCTCTCTTTTCTCCCCTCTTGTCCATAGTATGTCCACCCCTTCAAATTCCACGTGTTTGACCCGGCCTGGGCGGCCTGTGGAGCTGCCTCGATCATGTCCCGCCAGGTGCTCTCTCCCCAGGTCAGACCTCCACTCTCTCAAAACACCCGCACTGCCCACAGAGTTGTGGGTGGTTGCTGGGCTCCCCAGCGAGGCCGCTGGACGAGCTGACTCCTGCACACGGACAGCCCCTTTCCTCCCAGCGTTCGCCTGAGTCTCCGCAGTTAACAGCACTGCCAGGTCCTTCTGGATGCTCAAATGAAAACGGTCCTCCGTCGTAACTTCGGCTGAGAGAGGTATATAAGGTGGTTTTTCTTGGCCAGCAGGGAACAGTGTGCTGCCGCTGGCTCTCTGTGTTTGATGACTGGAAGTGCCCAGCTCTTTTTCCAGCCGCTGAACTGGAGAACCAGAAACAGCATCTTTGTCCAGTAGCATTGTAGCCTGTAGCGTTCCTGAAGCTATTCTGGCTTCAGTAGCTTTCAGAGCTGAAATCAAAGAGTCTATGGGCTGTAAACGTTGCTCCGTGAGGTGGCTGTGAGAGGGGACCTCTCCAACACCTTTTGGTCCTGCTGTAACACTGTTGAGCCCGGAGTGGGGGCCAGCAAGAAGCCGCACGCCCTCCTGCCCCTGCGGGCAGCATGGCAGAGACTCTGCATCAAACTCGAGAGAGGTTCTTAGGCCTTCTCCACCTTCCTCCATGGTGCCATATTCTGGAAATTCATTTGTGACATTTGGTGGCAGTAAAGTGCTTCCTCCATGATCACCTGTGAGCAGAACAGAATGGACACATGACTTGCGTTGAACAGGTTCCAATGTGTATTAACAAATATCCACATATTAGGCATACAACAGTCTGTGTTTGGTTCTTTTGCTGTCTCCTTCTGCTCACCACTTCCCAGAAACTTGCCAGTGGTCACTCTCACTTAGCTTACACGGGTGTCACTGCACAGGTCTGGGAGGGAAGGAGACAATCTAACGACACAGGTCATACTCCACCCGGCCTCTGACAAGGTCCCACAAAGGCTGCTCACTTGCTGCCCATGCAAAAAGAGATTCAAATAAGGATATGTATCACTTTCCAAATACCATTCAAGGAACAGCAACTAAAATATTTATATTGGGCATAACAACAATAGCCTCACGGTCCGGCCAACAAAATCTGTGCAGTGCAGTCTGAGATGGGCCTCGGAAGAAAGACAGGAGCTATTTAAAGTCAGCAAATATTTTTCCAGCAGGGAGCCTCCCCGTTTCACTGTTTGATTTCTGTGGGGGAGGAGGGAAAGCTTTCAGAACACCCCTGACAAAAAGAGTGAACTCAAAATGTAACAGGAAGCTTTGAATGTGTTGAGAAAAATTTCCAGGATCCCAATGCATAAAATTGAAATGTTTTATTTCATATGCATAAAATTGGAATGTTTTATTTAACATTTTATGCAGAATCCCACCATATGAAGCAGTGAAAACAATAATTAATATGTATATTTAATATATTGGATCAGATACACATTTTCTTATTCAAATAGCGGTTAACAAGAAATACATTCTCATGAGCAAAAAGTTAAATAGGGGTTTTATGGCTAACAGTGACAGTCACATTACCCTAGTATCCAATGTCCTTCAGAACTTGGTTTTGGTTGCTCCGTATCAAGAAAATCCTGGTACACTAGAAACGCAGTGCGTTTACTTTGACAACTTATGAAAAAGGACCCCTAATGTTTTGAAAGCACTGTGAACCACACCCTTCCTTTTGAGTGAAGTATTTGACGAATGCGTGATAACACAATTAAAACAGCATGGAAGGCGGATGCCAAGGCCTGCACAGAACGAGAACGTTCAGAACCAGGAGGGAGGTAACGCGCAACCGTGATGGATGGCAGCACATCTGGGAGTGTTTACTGTTTTCTTCTCCATTTTTAAAACAACTTGCAATCGATCTTTAAAATTCAACTTGAATCAGGCGCTGATGGAATCCAAGAGACAGCTCTCTGTGACGGCAGCACTGAGAACACCGTCACGAGACAGAGCCGAGAAGACGGGTTGCTGGAATCTGAAGAGGAGGCAGCTTTCGAACTCTGATTTTCAAAAGGAAGACACTGGAAAACACTAAAGGTCCCTCTTCCTTTCAGTGTGTTCCCTCCCTTAAGGTTCAGTGGTTTTGAATATACTCCAAAATTGTGCAGCCATCACCACCAATTCCAAACGTGTTCATTACCGCCCCGCCCCCCAAACACATGTCCATTAGCCGTCACTCCCCACTGCCCCGTCTTCTCAGTCACTGGTCACTGCCAATCCACTCTCTGCTTCCATGCATTTGCATATTCAGAACATTCCACAGAAATGGTATCACGCCATGTGGCATTTTGTGTCTCTCTTTTTTCACTAAACAATGTTTCTTTTGTTCTTTTTTGTTTTGTTTTGTTTTGTTTTGTTTTGTTTTTAAGAGAGACAGAAACATCCGCATGAGAGAAGTACATGGATCGGTTGTCTCTCACAGGCACCCTGACCGGGGACTGAACCTGCAGCCCAGGCATGTGCCCTGACAGGGAATCCGACCCATGACCTTTCGCTTTGTGAACGATGCCCAACCAACTGAGCCACACAGGTCAGGGCAACATGAAGTTTTCAAGATTCACCCACATTGTAGCATGTATCAGAACTTCATTCCTTTTTATTGCCAAATAATATTCCATTGTATAGATATACTAATTTCTTTAGCCATTCATTAACTGATAAATATTTGTGTTTCCATCTTTTGGCTATTGTGAATAATGAACACTGGTATACAAGTTTTTACATCTACATTTATTTTCAATTCTCTTGGGTATACACCGATAAGTGAAATTTCTGGGTTATGTCCCAATTTTTTTAGATACGGCCAGTTCCCCAAAGATGCTACACCACTGTACCTTCCTCCCAGTGAGATCTGAGGGGTCCATTATGGTCCGTCTTTTCTATTCTAGCCATCCTAGTGAGTGTGAAGTGGTTGTCACTGCGGTTTTGATCTGCATTTGTTTCCCTAGTGACGGAATATTATTCTCCTGAGTATTTTCTTCTTTTTGATACTATGACAAGTGGAACTGTTTTTTAATTTCATTTCAGGTTATCATTGCTACCATATTTCTATATGGTTACTGTATATAGAACTTATATCCTGCAAAATCGTGCTGAATTTATTCATTCTTACAGTTTGTGGGTAGATTCCTTAAAATTTCCTTCTACATGTATGTCATCTGTAAACAGATAGTTTTACTTTTTTCTTTCCCATCTGGATACTTTTTATTTCTTCTTGCCTAACTTCCCTGGCTAGACCCTTCAGCAGGATACTGAACAGAAGTATTAAGAGCAGAAATCCGCATCTTGTGTCTGATCTTAGGAGAAAGCCTTTAATCTTTCAGCACCAAGTATGATGTTAGCTGTAGGTTTTTTCCAAACGCCCTGTATCAGGATGAAGAGGGTCCCTCCCACTTCTGGTTTGTCAAGTGTTTTCACAATAAAAATGTGCCGAATTTTATCAAATGCTTTTTCTCTGTTATTTGAGATGGTCATGTGGGTTTTGTCACTTATTCTAGTGACATGATGTTTCACATTCATTGATCTTTATATACTGAACCAACTTTGCATTCCTGGAATAAATCCCACTTGGCCATGGTGCATAATGCTTTTTATATATTGCAAGATTCAGCTTTCTAGCATTTTTGCATCTATATTCATAAACAGTATGGGTCTGCAGTTGTATTACCTTTTCCTGGTTTTGGTATTAGGGTAATGCTGACTTCACAAAACAAACTGGGAAGTATTCTACATGGCATTTGTTTACACCTTTTGACTCTTTTTTAGGCTTTTAACAGTTTTTCTCCCTTAATCACTGAGGACTTCAGTTTCATTAGTGCATTAAAGCTATAAATTTATTTTTTAATAATTCACCATTTTATTTATCTTTACTTTTATGATTACATGTTGTACTACCATCACCACTACCAAATTCCAGTACATTTCCGTCACCCCTAAAGAAGACAATTAATTAACAGTCAGTCATGATTCTCCCCACCTCCACCCCTTGGCAACTGCTAATCTACTTTTTGTCTCTATTTGCCCACTCTGGCCATTTCATATAAATCAAATCATACACAACGCTCTTTTTGGGGTGGGGGCTCTGGCTTCCTTTACGCGCACCCTGTGTTTAAGGTGCATCCACGCTGCAGCCGGTGGCAGGCTTCACTCCTCTTTATGGCGGAGTCGACAGTTCATCGGATGGCTATACCACATTTTTTATCTACAAACTCATTGTTAATATGCAAAGAAAGGGAAAAAATGAGCAACCCCAAAACACGTTTTCTTTCTTTAGCACAGTTAAATAGCTTAAAGCAATCAGAGTACTTAGTTCATAGGGGGAAACAATTCCTTTAGATTTTATAATACTTGTCGTTATTTCCCTACGCTACAGTATAGCTTTACAAAAAGTTGAGGTTTACAGAGTATAAAAGTCCAAAGGCTCAAGGAATCTAAGAACTCACAGACCCAACGAAATTAAGTGAGAAAACAGGCTCAAAGGACAGTGCGCCCACCGACTGTTCACAGGAATCAAAGCCAGAGCCTGTTTACCTCACCCTGCTACGCCCGCACCCCTCCCCTCCCTGCCACCTCTACTGGTGGTGAGATACTCGAGTGTATGTCTTCCATCTTTTCCCTGAAGTTAAAAAAATATCTTCAGAAATGGTTAACCAAAGTCCAGCCTCACTTTTCCACTTCATCTTGTATATACCACGATCTTCCTAAAACAAAACTTTAGGCTGCTTTCAGTAGTTCCCCATCACCTACAGAACAGAGTGAAGTCCAAACTCTGTGATCCACAATCCAGCCCCACCCGTCTCCTCCAATCTACTTGCTCTTTCTCTTGCTTGACTCCCTTCTCAAACGTTGTGTCCTTGCTCCTCTAACTGAAGGAGGGGACCACTTTGAAAAGGTTCCCTCCACTGTATACTGAAAATCAAGTTAACTGCATGTACACTCTGAGCTCTGTACTCCTTTGCCTTTGCTCAACCTCTTTTCTCCACACGGCATAATTTCTCCTCCTGTCTCTACAGGGTGAGATCATTTTCACCTTTCAACACCCAGTCAAATTCCCTCTTCTGAATTCAGCCTTCCCATAATCAACTGCCTTGCAAGAAGTTACCTCTCCTACAAATGTCAAGAAAACTTGAGCAGAATTATACATACATTGCATATAGTACATATACTTGAAATAACCATGTTAGCTCATATTTTAAAGCTTGAAAAGGCTACAATGTTTAACCTATCGCGAAGTGTTATAATGAAACTGTCCATCATGACCATTGAAGCCACATGGAAATTTAACTCCAAAACCCACTACAGTGAAATCTACTTAATGAAATGAAGAGAAGTTAAACGCTACCATTTCGAAGCCCACTTTGCTTTAACAGCTTACATCGCCGCCTAGACAACCACCACGGAGACATGGACACACTGGCTCAGAGAAGACTGAGCACACAGACATCAAGAAAAAGGGCTTCAAGAAATTAATTAATTTCTCCAGCCCACTTTGAATACTCTTCATCAACATGTAACAACTTCTAAAGGAGGCAGCAAATGCATCAATTGTGGGCAAATGCTTGTGATGTCTTGATATAACAACTTGGCAACTAGTCAGAGGAAGGAGATAAAAGGATGATGGGCAAAAGCAAAGCCCTGCGTGACAAACAGCTGCTCTACTATTCCAATCAGTCCTCCTGTTCTGAGTTTACTG